ATTTCTCTTCTTTTTCTTTTTTTTTAGCTCTCTATGTGGAAGGCAACGATGTGACAAAATTTGCCTCCATGGCGAAGCTGAAGGCGGGTCGCCTGGCCCGCGAGGTGACCGATAGCTGTCTCCAGTTCTGGGGAGGAATGGGATTCACCAGCGAGGTCCTGGTGAGCCGGTTTTACAGGTGAGCGAGCGAGCGGTGGAAGCTGTCTCTTCTTTTTCTTTTTTTTTAGCTCTCTATGTGGAAGGCAACGATGTGACAAAATTTGCCTCCATGGCGAAGCTGAAGGCGGGTCGCCTGGCCCGCGAGGTGACCGATAGCTGTCTCCAGTTCTGGGGAGGAATGGGATTCACCAGCGAGGTCCTGGTGAGCCGGTTTTACAGGTGAGCGAGCGAGCGGTGGAAGCTGGCGATGGCTCTGCTGAAGTTTGGCCCCTTCGATGTGCCCCCCTCGAAAAGGGTGCCAGCCCCTCGCCGGTGTGGGCGGTGTCGTCCCGCCGAGCGGCGTGTCGCTGGGGTGGCTGCAAGGGCATCCGTGGCCACTGACTCTGGGGCGAGCTGTGTGAGTGCCGGGACGTCGGCTGGCTGTTCCTGGGCCGAATCCTGGCTCTGCCTCACAGCGGCCTGGTTGGAACTACCCGCAGCTGCAGTGTCAGGGGGAAGAAGTACACCCCACGTTTTCCCTGAGGGTCCGCTGGTACCTGCCAGGGGAAAAAGGAGGAGCCTACCAACAAGTGATTTCTTTTCTCTTTGGTCTTTGCTTGTGGCCTTGATCACAAGAACAGAACTAAACCGAAACAGGAGCTTTCTCCCAAAGCCAGTGAAAATCCGCTTTACCTTTTTCCCCAGCTGTACGTGTGCCTTGGGCTGCTGCGGTGGCCCTTGCCGGGGCAGTCCCCTCCCGCCCCGGGTAGCCACACCAGACGTATGAGAGGTGCAGCTGCTTCCAGCAAGCTGTTCGGTCGTTAAAACACAGCCGGGGCATTTTTGCAAATTAGTGAGAGTCCCTTCAAGTTTTACCATATACTTACAGCAAAATTCTCTCGAAGCCAACAGTTTCCTTGCAGCTGTCAGGAAAATTCTGGCCCTGATGTCTTTTATTCTGTAGAAGGACCAAAATGGAACTTGCATTTTTTAGCAGTAACAGATTTCAGGCCAGCCCCTGTAGGTACGATACCTATTCTCAGAGGCTGGCAAAGTTCGGTAGCGGGTCAGTTAGTTGGAAGAGTTGGTGAGTGTATCTGTGTGAGAGCAGAACGCTTAAAAAAAAAAATCTGTAAAAAGCTTGTTCCTTTTTAGTAGGTTGAGTTACTTTTTCTGGTTTTAATAGCATTTTATGAACAGGAGTGCCGCTGTGGTAAGTCAGAGATCCTCGGCCTTTTCTGCCTTGTGGATTCCTGGAGCTTTCTGGTGCAGGTAGAGGCTGCTGTACGGCGGAGGCTCTCAGCCAGCTGCGGATAAGATGGTTTTTCTGAGTTACTTTCTTCATAGCCTCACTTTTAGCTGCTAGTGGTCCCTCGTGATGCGGCTGTTAACAGCTGCGGCACTCTGAATGAAACGAATCCTTGTTGTGAAGCGCTTGCTGTCCGTGTAGTAGGTGTGCAGATGAACGTGTAGCTCGGGCTTGTCTCTAGATTTCCTGCCAAGTCTGTTATTGCAAACTCAGGGCAGGGCTTTTCTGCGCAGCTTCCAGAGAACACCAGCGCCATCAACATTTTTCCTGTGAAGAAATCCAGAGTATTCCCTGTTGGTGTAAACTGTGCCAGCTGGCTAAAGAAACCGATCTTTCTGCGTCTAAACCAAAGAAAAAATGTGGCCAAAGGTGGTGTGATACCTATAAAATTTTCTGTGAATCAGTAAAACTCCATTCTTGAGTAACCGTAAGCTCCAGGGAGGCAGGAGCAGAGAATTACCTAAATAAACAATTACAGGTTCGAGTCAGAATCTTGCCAATCT